TGCTACAGGAGGAGACTGCCCCTCCGTCTCCAGCAGATCATCTGGTGGACTCGAACTGTGCGCCTCTGGGATTGCAGTGCACCTACTTGCCACTAGGCCACCAGAGCTCCCAGTTTCCTGTGTCACTGCAGAGACGAGGACCTAAATCTCTTGACACTAGTACTTGCCTGACAAATGATCTTTTTGGAGTCCCTGAGTGATGCAAACAGTTGGAGTCCACTTAGAGGTGCCTTGGAAGAAAGGCCTGGCAATCAGCTGCTCTAAAATCAGCCACTGAAAACCTGCCGGAGCCCAGTCCTATCCTAACACACGACCATAAGTGGGAGCTAACTGGTTATAATAACTGCTGCTGCGGACGGTGGTGGTGATGGTGTCTGTGTGCCGCCTGCCGGAGGGGAAGCATGGGATGACTTGGGGACTGGTCGACCCGGCTCTCGAGTCTCTTCAGACCCCCTGACCTGCATGTCTGTGCCAGTCTCAGAGGCACCGGCGGTCCTGGCCCACCCTAGGCCTTCCGCACTGAGCCTGTGAACAAGCTGCTCTCCACTGAGCCTTAACGTCCTCTCCTGTCGTTCCGGCCCTCGTCAGCTCTGCCAGCTTGCGTGTCAGCCTGTGCAGACCGCGGCCCCAGCATCCTGTGCGCCTGTGTGGGCAATCCTGTTCCACTGCCACCCGCTCAAGGGCAAAGACGGGCCCTCTGCCTGTGGTCGCCAGGGTCCGGCCAGGAACAGGACTGAGCAAATGTTTGTTGAGCGAATGACACCGGGTCACCTTGGGTTGTGACCTCAAAACACATGATACACGAAGAAAAGACTGAAGGTCCAGGATTTCATTTCACTTAATCCACCATCAACACGCACGGGAGCTCACGGTTGTCAGGTTGATTCCGGCTCGAGTTCCAGAGGCGGTAAACCTTTCATGAGAGGAGACTGCCCAGCTTTTCCCTATGAGCAGCAGGTGGACATGAAGCCTTTGGTCAGCTGCACAAAGCCAGCTCTTTAAGAGTGGCACTGTCGGGAGCAGGGTTCAAACCCACGCCTCCAGGGAAGCCTGCAGCCTGAACTCAGAGCCTCAGGCCACTCGGCCACCCTGACTTACTGAGTAAGGACGTTACTCATGCAAGATACACGTCCCCACATTCCCACTGCGATCCAGTCGGAAATGACTCACAGCTGATCCTCTGGTGTGTTTGCCTATCTTTCCCGCTCGGAGCCACTGAAGGATTCACACTAGGGAGGTGTGGCCTTTGGGTTAACAGCACAACCATGTTCCAGTGAGGCAAATGTGTAGCAGAGACTTCTTTAAAGTATTCGAAAGCAATGAAGTCACTTCGAGGACTAAGGTGCACCTGACCCCAGGCCCGGAGTTTTAGCACCTCACATGCAGTGATGGCAGAAGGAAGACTGGATTAGCTGGCAGATGACATTGGATGGGATGAGTAAGAGTCTGGGAGAAGGTACAGCACAAACACACCCTAGGAGCCAGGCCGGTGAGACTCCGTCTAGCCAACAATGGCCATGTTATCAGAAGGGACTAGTCCCCAGAGACGCACACCATGTGCAGTAAAACAGAGATTAGCCAGAACCAGGTAGGCCCTCAAAGAGGCAGGTAGGTCAAGGGGCCTCAATCATGGGCTCAAACACAGCAATGGCTGCAGAGGGAAGAGGCAGGGCTTCGTACTGCTGTGTATGGGCCACTATGCGACAGAACCACCTCAACGGCACCAGATAGCAGTAAAAAACACAACATGCACACAGCACACACTCACAGACTCCACACCTCCTGTTCTGAGCACAAGTGGGGTCTGGAGGCCACTGTCTCCAGCACAGCTCATATAGAAAGTATGTGTGGTGCCCGCCTGTCTTCCTCAAAACAAACCCACTCACGCACACACGCTCACAAACACATCTGACAGTGTGTGTACTGCGTGGCTGTGTGCAGCCCACCTTCCCGGCGCACCCCTCAGAGACCCTCACTCCCTCTAAGCACTCCCAGAGCCCCCGCACCCTGACAGCCTGCTGGGCCCAGCCCTCACGCATGGGGAGAGCCAGGCCTGGGAAAGGCTGTGGGCAGTGCCTGGAAGTCAGGTTCCCGGCAGGGCTGACGGAGTGGAGAGAGAGGGAGGCAGGTGAGTCAATACCAAGCCGGAAGAGAGGGTGGGAGGCAGAGAGCTCATGTCAGTCTGTCCTTCCACAAGCTGCTGACAGATGGAAATTACAGCGGAGCTGGGAGGAGAGAGGGAGGTGGCGTCACAGAAGGACACAAGACAGCAGAACTGGGAACTGCGCTGGCTGGGTGCCAAAGCCAGCTCACCCTCACAGGCGGCTTACATGCAGGGAGGCTGAGGAGAAGGGAAGGCGGCACCCCACCCAGGCAAGGGGCCCAGCCCAGTCAGTGCCTCTCCCCGGGTGGGGCTGAAGGTAGGCCCAGAGCTAGAGAGATGTGAAAAGTCCTGCTGGGCAGACTCGCCCCTGGACTGGGCCCAGAACCAGAGCACAGGGCAGGGGAACGAGCTCTGGGTAGGATCTTGGGGTGAAGCCCAGGGAATGCTGAGGCCACAGGGCTTCATAACACCCCTCTCCCCATCACCTTATCTCTGGGAGCGCTTTCCCACATCTCAGATCCCCAGGGTACCTACAACCGGAGCTCTGCCTCAGCGGGAACACGGAAGAACAAGCTGGTTAGAAGCCTGGGGGCTAAGTCTGGCCACCCTGGTCCAGGTCAAGGCTCCAAAACGTAACTAGACCTAGGCCTAGGTTGTAAAACGGGAATAATGAAAGTACCGACGCTTTGTGATGCAAACAGTTCATTCCCTTGGCTGCTAAGCAAAAGACTGGATTCCATCTGGAGGCCACTCGGAATAAAGGTCTGGAAACGGACTCCCAAGAAAACCAGGCGCTGAAACCCCTGCGGAGCACAATTCCTCTGACAACCACGATCTCCACGAGCCAGAGTCTCCTCAACAGCAACTCCCGTTACTCTTTGTCGACTGTTGACAGAAATCCGTGCCCAGCGCACAGCTCGTGCTTGCTGAATGTAACTAATTATTAGTCCCATCAGCGCCGTCATCAACATGGACTTCTGGCTGGAGACCACATTTCAGCTTTCACTGTCTGGACTCTGAGCTGCCAGAGAAGTCCCATCCACTCTAGACACAAACACCAGGGGCACAAAGCCTGCCAGGCATGGGGGTTCGTGGCTCGAGCTAAAAGCTCTGACCCCAGAGAGACAGGGAGCACCCCAAGGGAGGACCACAAGGCTGGGGCCCAAGGGAGCACGATGGAGGGTATATAATCATAAGCTCGGGATATTAAACAGGTGATACTGACACCGGGCCTCAGTTTCCCCATCACAGATGAAGAAGCAGGACTCAGTGAACCCTGCGGTGCTTCTCTAAGTCCACCAGGGCTCCAAAAGGGCTCAGTGGTTCCTGAGTCCCTCGGCCGAGGGCCAAGAGGTGGCCAGGAGGCCAGAGAGCTGAGACAATGAGCCAGCTCCGGGAGAACTCAGGAGTGCTGCCCCAGAGGCCGAGGTGGCCCCAGATTCAGACCAGGGGGGCCTGCATTCTCTCCCCTTCTCCGCATGCCCCACTCCTATGCCAGTCTCAACTGTAACTCAACAGTTGTAGCCAGAGGGCAGTCCCATCAATGACTGCCATCAGGGCACCTTCATCCCAAAGAGACAGTGACAGAAATGTCCCTAAGGGGCTTCATTTAGGGACGGCTCACACCCACAAACTTGCAAACCAGATTCAAATGCAGGGGACCCTGGTGGTGGTGGCTAAGCGGCAGGGAGCTGCACTGCCAACCTGAAGGCACGCAGTTCGAGTCCACCAGGTGCTCCGCAGGAGAACGATGGGCAATCCCCTCCCATGTGATTACACTGCCTCTGAAAACCCACTGGAGGTCAGCGATGAGTCTGTTCTGACCCCATGGCACACGCCACCACCACGATGTTTTCAGTGATGACCACCCACCAGGACAGGTAACACGAACTAGGCACGTGCTATGACCTCTCCCGAATGATGCAGTGAAGGCACAGGGCTGGTGACAGAATAGAGTCCAGACGCAACTGTGAAGCTACTCAACAGCTACCTTCAAGGTCAAGTCACAACAGGCTCTCCTAAGTCACGCTCAGAACACCAGCTGCTCGCGCAGCAGGCAAAGAAAGTCTGGGAAGCACAATGAGTAGAGAGAGGTAATCCCAAGTCGAACCATCCGCTGCTGTCAAGTCAGCGTCGAGTCACTGTGACCCTGTGAGCAGAGCACAACTACCCCACAGGGTTCCCAGGGTGTAAAGGACACGAGGCGTTTGCTGTAGAAGGTCAAGGACTGCAGTCTTCAACATGGACTGAAGCTCAACATCAACAGGGCAAAGGTTCGCACCACTGCACTGACCAGCAGCTTCATGATGGATGGAGAAGAAATTGAGGTTGCTGATTCGTTCTGCTTGTTTGGTTCCACAATCAACACTCTCAGCACCAGAAGTCAGGAAATCAAAAGATGAATTGCATTGGGAAAGCCTGCTGCCAGGGACCTCTCTCGAGTACTGAAGAGCAATGATGTCAGTCTAGAGACTAAGATGTGCCTGATCCAGGCCACGGCCTTGGTAATTACTTGCTATGCATCCGAGAGCTGGATAATAACTAAGGATGATAGAAGAAGGATCGGTGCCTTTGAATTGTGGTGCTGGGCTGAACATACTATGGACTGCCAGGAGAACAAGCAGGTCTGTCCAGGAGAGGGTGAAACCAGGCTGCTCCCTGGAGGCTAGGATTTGGAGGCTCTGTCTGACATACTTTGGCCATGTGGCCAGAAGGGACCAGTCCTTGGAGAGGGACATCATGCTTGGAAGGGTGGAGGGACAGCACAGGAGAGAAAGACCCAGGAAGACATGGACTGACTCAGTGACTGGAGAAATGGGATTAGGTCTGTCAGAGACTATGAGATCAGCTCAGCATAGGGCAGGGTTCATAGTACACAGAGTCACTATGAGTCACAGGTGACTCGATGGCACATAACAACAACAACAAGATGAGCTAAGCCTTAGCACTGTGAAGGTGGCAAAGTGTCCCAAGTATCCCATGGACTGCCAAAAGCACAAATCTGTCTTGGAGGACGTGTAACCGGCGTGCTTGCTAGGATGGGGAAACTCGATCTCACATACTTTAAAAAATGCTGCCAGGAGGTACCATTCCTTCAAAAGAGATGTCATGCTGAGAAAAGGAGAGGGTCATGGAAAGAGAAGACAGACCCTCAATGACACGGAGGCCGATGCAGGACTGACATGGGCTCGGCGTTACAGAGATTGTGAAGAGGGCACACGACAGGGCGAGGTTTCTACCCATTCAAAGAGTCACTGTGAGCTGTAGTTGACTCGACAGTGCGTAACAACAACAGATCGCTGAGAAGCAAACTGCCTCTCCGTCGCCCCATCTGGCAGGTAGGTGCCAAAGGCTAACTTCCTGGTTGGCAGCCCAGGGCTTAAGCATTGTACCACCTGGCCCCCTTAGAAAAGTCAGCAAGCTTCTTCCCTGCTGTACTCCTTGTCCTCTTCCACAGGCTCACACACATGTCCGGACGCACACCACGTTTTCCAAACAGACTCAGGGGCGGAGGTCCTCCCCAGCGCAACCTGGGAGAGGCGGCCTGACACAACACAAACCAGTTCTTCTCTGAAGCAGCTGTTTCCTTGCTGCTCTGGGGAAAGGCACATTTTCCAATGCACAGAAACGAGGCTCACCTGGAGGGTGTCACAGCCCTGCCCCGACCTCGGAACCCACCCACGCTGCCGGGATTATCCTACCAGAACCTCTAAATCTGAGTCTCCTATCCTGTCAGCAGCCAAAGCTCAGGTGCGGTTCCTCGTTAAAGGCTACTGCTCACTTTATAGGCCTATCGGCTGCTACACAGTGATCCCCGGAGGGTGGGGGTGGGGGTTCAGTTCCGGGTTTGAAGGGTCCTAAAGTCCTACTCTCAGGGGCTCCGCCAATTTCTATCAGAGACCTATAGGGGGGTTTGGTTTGTTCACCACCACCCCCCAAATCTTGTTCAACAGGGTTTTTCAAAGGCTGATTTTTCTTCCAAGGTGCAGCTAGGTGGGTTCGAACCTCCAGTCTTTCAGTGAGCAGCTCCATGTGTGAGTAAGTCTACACCGCCCAGGGATGAAGTCTGGTCATAACCCCACCCCACCCACAGACTCCTGGCAGCCTCCTCCATTTCAAACAAAGGCAAAGATATTATCGCCTCTCAATCCTGCTTGGTATGTTAGGGGGCAGTCCTCTCCTTAGGAGCCAAGACGAACTGTTGGAGCTGGGGGGGGGGGGCGCCCCACACCTGAAAACATTTCCCATCAATGAGTCTAACAGTAAGGATCGTGGAGACTGCGGCCTTAATCGGATGACGCCGCCTCCCCACCTGTGATGGGAGGCAGCAAGCCCCTTCCAGCTTCAGGCAGATAGTGAAGATGGGGAAGGCGGGACTATGCCCAACTTGAGTGCAGAACTCCTGGGCGAGTCCTGGGAGAGAAATGAGGAGAGACCCCACAAGCCCTACGTGCTCCCCTAGAGATCCCCAAGTTCAAGTGTTAAAGCCCGAGGTGCAGGATCCCGGGAGGCTAGTCCTCTGCTCACCCGTTTCCCCCTCCCGGATTTGCCCTGGGCATCTTCCCGACCCCTCCACCTCAGAGCCCACACTGCCCACCTTCCCCTCCTTCTCCTCTACCCCAAATGGCTTGCAGAGTTCAGGATTCTAGATGCTTCTAGAACTTTCTTCTCACCCTCCTCCCACTACCACCAGGCCCTCCCACTGAAAACATGGCCGCCAGCCAACACCTCCCTTCCGTCCTTCCCCTGCCCACCCAGTGGGTAGCTTTCTTGGTCAGTGGAGAGAACAAAACCAAGCCTCGCTGGATGGAAATGTTAATGAAATGGATGCAATGCCTCTTTAGCACCCTTTCCGGGTGCAACGTCACCTCAGTTGGTTTTAGAACATAAAAATCCAGGAGACAGATTGTGCCTGGTTCATAAAGCTACAGTTTGTTCTTTTTCAAAAGTTTGCCCTCTCAGCAACTTCTGTGGATGGAGGTCAAGGTCATGGGGCCAACCCTCAGGCCCCAACACCCTTCCAAGCTGTCCTGATAACCACGTGCTCTTCTGAGCCTGGTGACAGAACAGGTAAGAAACACCAAGTGCCTAACCTCCCCCAGGATCAACGGGCACTAGTGTCCATGCCGCCACTCACAAACTACAGCAGTGCTGTTAGACGCCACAGAGCCAATTCCGACCCCAGGTGACCTGTGTGTGGCCTTTCAGAAACAGCCAAGCCTGTCTGGTTTTGAACCACCAAGCTTTCAAGAAGTCAAGTGCAGGACCCATCTGCACCACCCAAGGCAAATGGGCATGGAATGTGAGAAAGACGTGAAGCCCTTTCCAGGCCTGTGGAAGCATCCGTGGCCAAGGGCGGCCCGTGACTTTCAGGGTGAGTTGTCTGTGTCCCCCGAGCCGGGACTGACTCACAGCTGACCCTCCAGTGGTTTTCACAGGCTGTAAACTGCACAGGAAGAGATTGCCCACCTTTCTCCTTCAAAGCAGCTGCTGGATTCAAACCACCTGCCTCTGGGGTTGACAACACAACTCCTTACCCGCTAGGCCCACCAGTGCTGCCTTCCAGGAATGGAAAATAGCTGCTGTACACAAGACCCACCAAAAACACCCAAGATAAGCCACAAACCATTTCCCCTGCACAGTGTCAAAAAAAAAAAAAAATCACTGTCTAAACTTCCAACAAGTCATTCAAAAAAGAGACTCAACCTCCAAATGTCACGCTTCGATTTTGGAAGAGAAAAAAAAATCAATTCAAAAGGTCTCCATTTTCCAAACCCCAGCAGTCCTGGGAAAGTGGTTTCTTCCCTTCTCAAAAAGGTTCTGACTTCGCAGCCAGCCTTCACGTCCACCTCCCACAAGGATGGGGCTTCCTTACCTGGCTCCGAAGCCGCCGGAGACATCTCCCACTTCCATCTGGAGGTCTTCAGGGCGGGTCTCTGAGGAAGGCGAGGAGTCATCTTCACCCGGAGTCTCTGGTCCACTTGTCTCACCGACTCCTAGTTCCCTGGCCTCTGTGGGGTCTCGGGCCTCAATGACTGGGGTTAAGCCCCCATTGTTCCTAAGGTCTGCTTCTGGACACTGGCCAACCTCACCTACCCCATGCTCCCTGGCTTCGCCCAGGTCCCCAGAGAGGTCCATGTCCCGCAGCCCCAAGTCCTGGGCCCAGTCCATCTGCCCCACACCACATCCTCGTGGTTCAGGGGACCCTTCTGCCTCCAGGTCACAGGACACCTCCAAACTCCTCAGGCCCAGATTGTTGCCCCAGTCCATCTGGCCCACCCCAAGCTCTCGGGGTTCCTCAGGACTGCAGCCTGCCCCTGGGGCCATGTTTCTCAGCCCAAGGTCAGGCGTCCAGTCAGCCTGTCCCACCCCACGTTCCCTTGATTTAAGGAACTCTCTGGCCTCCACGCCTGACCAGTCAGTCTGCCCCACGCCACTCTCCCTGACCTGACCTGCCTCCCCCAACCCTGTCAAATCTCTGCTCCTCACCCCGACATCGGAAGTCCAGTCCCCTTCCCCAACCCTGACCCCCCTGGACTCCTCAGACCCTCCAGTCTCCAGGCGACTGGCCAGGTCCATGTCTCTGAAGCCCAGGTTGTCTGCCCAGCCCAGCTGTCCCACAGCATCCTCCCTGGCCTCTCTCGAGCCCCCAGCATCCACACAGCTGGACACTTCCAGGTTCCGAAGGCCTAGCTGGTCAGTCCAGTCCACGGGTCGGGCTGTCGTCTTCCCAGGAGGCACAAAGTGGCCACCTCCCATGTTACCAGAAGGGCTCATGCCAGTCCCGCCAGCTCTGTCATTACCGATGATGCCAAACTGATGGTTGGTCTCGATGCCCTCAACACAGAAATCGTCGCTCCAGTCTGGCCGCCCTGGGCTGAGCGCCACCTCTGGCTGTGGGGCAACCCCAAGGCTGAACTCGGTGGCCCAGCCTCGCTTCCCCACCTCCCTCTCCTCTCGATCTGCATCGCCAGGGCTCTGGGACCCGGCCTGCTGTCTGCCCTGCAGCGCGCTGACCTCCTGCGGGGCGCGACTGCCCTGCTCTCTCTGTCCCAGTGCCCCATCCTGTGGCAGGAGGGTGCTGGGGCTGAACAGGGCCCCTGGCTCTCTCTCCTCTGGCTGGCTGGCATGCCTGCTGGCCTCTCCAAGGCTGTCTTCCCCGCTCAGAACCTTCTTCTCAAATTCCTCATCCTGCTGCTGGGCTTCTTCGGGGCTGAACCCGGTGCTCAAGGTTCTCGGACTGAAGCCTTTGTCCTGGGCACCGAGGACGGTGGAGCTGCTGCCACTGCTGTAGTTACTGAGCCAGTTGTGCTGCCCGAAGCCCGGGCCCTGCTGCCCTGTGTCCTGGCTGCTGAAGGGCCCATCCTGGCCACTGAAGGCCCCGAGTGCAGAATCTCTCTTCTCAAACTCCCCAGGGTGCCTGTCAGCGTCCTGGCTGCTGTATCCGCCCAGCAGGTCCTTTTTCCCCAAGTCCTGACCCTGCTCTTCTGTCTCCCGGCTAGTGTACATGCCCAGGGAGTCTCTCTTTCCAAACTCCCAGTCCTGAAGACTCGCACCGCGACTGCTCAATGAATCTCTCTTCCCGAACTCCTGGTCCTGGAGTTCTGCATCCCGCCTGGAGTAAGTTCCCCGGGAATCCCTCCTTCTGAACTCCCAGTCCTGGGCAGTGGCCTCGGGGCTCTGCCGGGTGCCGATCACCTGGTCCTGGGCAGTGAAGCCCCCTGCAGCAGATGCCTCCCTCCTGTCTCCACTGCCAGCCTCCAGTTCCTCCTGGCCGGTGCCACGCCTGCTGGCCCACTCTCGGGGGCTCCCTTCCCCAGCTCCTTGTCCATAATCGCTGGTCCAGTCGCTCTCTCCAAGGCTTTGGTCTCCTCTTGGGTTCACGCCCCCAAGGCCATAGTCCTGGGACGAGTCTTGGGACCAGTCAGAAGAGCTGAAACTGCTGGGCTGTGGGTTCGCTGCAATCCCAAATTCACTCTGCAGATCTTTTTGGGCCCAGCCCAGGAGCCCCTAAAATCAGAACAAAATAAAAACAAAAACAAAACAAGTTTACAATCAGCTTAGTGACAGGCAGTCCAGCCTTGTGTCTAAGGGCCCCACTGCCAGAGGAAGTAGTAGAAATCTTGCTGTGTAACCTTGAGCCGATCACGTAACCACTCTGGGCCTCAGGGACCTCCCTTCAAATGATGGTCTCTCCTATTGCCTGGAGCTGGTGGGTTAACCCCAAGCATATGAGCCAAGAACTCAGCCCCGTGCCTGGCACACAGTGGGCATCATGTTTGGGCAACACTTGGCCAAAGGCAAGGAGGAAGCTCATCAAAAGAGAACGGTGGAGTAGGGGGTTGGGGAACACGTTCAACTAGAAGAGGTCAAAACTCAAAGTTCCTGTGTAATCTTTCCAAAGCAGGATTCCAACACAACGCTAACTTTCCAAGCTCCCCGAAGGAAGTTGCAGCCCCAGGAAGACCACCTCTCCTCTGGGCCAGGTAGGGCCCCTGGCTCGGGGCTGAGACCCAGCCGGGGCTCCCCCCAACCCCAGACTCACCCCCACCGGTGAGCGCGCCCTGGGCTCGGGGCTGCGCAGCCGGCCGGCCTCGTCCCGCAGCGCCGCGTTGGCCAGCAGCCGCTCCAGGACGGACATGCGAGCCTCGCCGTCCCCTCCGTGGGCCATGGCCCCCGCCCGGGCAGGGCTGCTGGGTGCGCCGGCGCGCGGGGCCGGGCCGCTGCCCTCGCCCAGACCTGTCCGACCGCTCGGCCGCCCGCTCCCCTGCCCGCTCGGCCCAGCAGCTGCAGCGGCCCCGCCCAGGAGCCAGTTGAGTCACCCGCACCCCCGCAGCCGAGGGCCGGGCCTTAACCCCTTCCTGCTCCTCCTCCTCCTCCTCCTCCCACCCCTCCCGCAGGGCCCCGCCCCGCCGCCCCGCCCCCCGCAGGCCAGGCCCGCCCAGAAAAACTCATTTCCAAAGCCACCAGGACCCCGGCCTTGGCGGGCAGGCAGGGGAAAGGGCACTGAGCTGGCTGCACAAGTGTCTGTCCCCTCCGGCCTTCGCTGCCCGCTCCAAGGCAGGTCTGGAGCTCAACCGTAATAACTTCGTAAAAGCCAACTTGTATTTAACGCTCCTGAATGAGGCACTATTCTTAGCATACAGCGTGTCTATGACTCACTTAACCTGCCCAGGCACCCCATGCAGCCCCATTTTACAGATGCAGAAACCAAAGTACAAGTTCAAGGTCACATCTGGTGTAAAACAGCAGACCCCGGATTTGAAACCCCGCAGTCCCGTTCCAGCGCGGACGTTCTAAGGAGCTATGCACCTTTTGGCCCTTTGATAACATCGCTTGCACCAGGGAATGAACACGTCCTACAAGCGCTGCCGCAGCAGCTCAGTTCACAGCCTGCATGCATGTGACTCTACCCGGCCTCTGGGCCTTGGTGGAGACTGCATTCCAAACCGCATGGACAGCGAGTGGATGCTGGTCCCCGTCTGAACTGGCTCTGACCGCAACCTCTGCCCAGCACACCTCAGAACGGAGGTGCAGGCCCACTGCGGCCTTGCTCACATGCGTATCCCACGCTCTGGGCCCATAAAGCTCAAGCTGAAAGAACGAGGCCCACCCAAGCCCGGGCCTCACCTCAGAGCAAGTGCCGGGGGTCTGTGCGTCCTTTGGTTCCGATCCAGCACCCCGCCTCGAACTGCCAGCACTGGGTGGCGGCGAAGCCAGGAGATCGTCCAGCCAGCGGGAACTGGTTCCGGGGCCCACTGATTCCGGGGAGGCTCTGTGGAGCTCCTGAGTCTCTATCATGGGCTGCGTGGTCTCAGCCTTGGCCAGGGTCACCGCAGCCTCCTCACAAAGCAATACCCGATCGGGGTGAGGGGTGTCAGCGAAGAGGACACAGGGCTGGCCGGGAGGTGCTGGCTGCTGCTGGCCTAAAATGGGCTCCAGGATGGGCAGGGCTGCCTGTCTGGGGGTCGGGGGAAGGGGGGATTCCTGTCCAGGCAGGGGCTCCCGCTCCTCATACCTCTGCTCGGCCTGGAGCAGGGTGGCCGGCTCAGGTGGGCCCCCTTCTGTGGGCAAGGGCTGCAGGGTAACAGCTGGAGGCTGAGGGGGGCTCACCCTGTCCTCCTCCTGGGTTGGGGAAATTGCTGGATCAACACTTGGCCTGCCCAGCCCCTCTGGGGGTGCCCGTGCCCCCTGGCCCTGCTCAGTCACTCTGTCCCCATCATGGGATGTAGCGGAGTCACCAGCCTCGGCAGCGGCCTCAGCAGCCTCGCTGGCTTCCGTGATGGGAGAGGGGGGCGGGGAGTCCAGTCGGCACAGACCCAGCCCCGCAGGCCTGGTGGGAAAGGCCCACTCAAACGACTGAGACAGGCTCCAGTTGGACTCAGTGCCACTCCCAAAGGGCCGGTCCAAGGCTGACTGGCTGCCTTGGGTCTGAGGCAGGGCAGCCAGCGAGCCCCCCAACTTCTCCTGGTCAGGAGGCCGGAGCACGCCTTCAGAGAACCGGCGCTGGACCAGGCTGGTGGGCCGGAGGTCTGGACGACTCTCGGCCACCACCTCCCCCTGGGAGGGAAACGTCTGCATGAGGTCCGGGAACTCACCCCCCTCGATCAGTAGTCGGGGTGAGGTGGCTGGGGGCTGGTCTGGGCTGTGGCGCCCCAAGACCTCCTCCAGGGGAGGAGTGAGGGGCTGAGGGGCCTCTAAGGCTCCCTCGGCAGGGAGTCCCTGGTCAGGGAGGTGGCGGGAGCCCTCCTCGTCCAGCAACACTGCACTGGCGGATGCCGGAGTCACCAGAGGGCAGGGAGACGCCCCAGGAGCTGCAGGACTCTGGGCTTCAGGCAGCTGAGAGGAGGGGCTCTTATCAGGTGAGTGGAAATGGGGAGACCGGGGAACAGAGCCCTCAGCTGTGAGCCCAGGACTGCCAGAGCCTCCGTTCTCCGAGGCAGGGCCTAGACGCGACTGTGACTTGGAAATCTGCAAGAGAGAAAAGTCAAGAGCCATCAATCACCCCTCAGCTGTGCCAGGGAGACACCTTCAAGTCCCAGGGGGACCCCAGGTCAGCTGCCTCCTCACACTGTGAACCCACAGACGAGGCAGAGGAACCCACAGCTCTGAGGAAGGCCTCTGCGGACCACACCTCTCAGGACCCAAGGAGAGGCTCTGAGGGCGGCCGGAAGCAGGGGTTCTTGTACTTCGTGGGGTCACCAGCTCCCATCTCCCATGGAGTCCATCGTGTGTGCCCTGTGTCAGAGCAGAACAGTGCTCCACAAGGTTTTCAATGGCTAAATTTTAAGAAATAGATTGCCAGTCCTTTCTTCCTAGGCACTTCTGGGTGGATTGAAACTACTAACCTTTCAGTTAACCTTTCGCCTACCCTCCTGCACTACCCAGGGACTGCTCTCAGGGTCTCTCCAGAACACACACATCTTTTCCACATTTGTACCACTCTTTTTTTTTTGTACCACACATCATTTCCACTCTTTGTACCATTTCAGGCAGTTCCATTCCCCACCCCCTGCAAACCAAAGCTCACCCAATGAATCTATAGCTCATAGGTACAGAAAAGCTGCTTAAAGAAAACATGGGACTGACCTTCTGGGTGTGACGGGAGTGAGGGGAAAGGGACACAGAGCAGGACTCGACGTCCAGTGCCTCTCCAGACCAGCCCCCAGGACTCGCCACCACCCACTCTGTACCCACAGCTCCCAACACCTCCCAAAGCAGCAACAAGTGAAGCCCTGGGATACAGAAGGGCAGGGGCTAGGGGAGACGTAGGACAAGCCCCTGGCTTGGAGTCACCCCAGCATCGCCTCATGCAAGCTGCATCCCCTCTTCTATAGAATAATCACTCAGTCTCCAGGAGTCAGCTTCCCCATCTGTAAACGGGGGGCCAATGACAACAGCGTCACAGCAGTGATGTGTGGATTAAGCAGGACGTGTGCACATGGCCTCACAGTACAGGACTCCCCAGAAGGAACGGATGCAGTGCATCATGGGTAGAATTATGCCCCTTCCAAATACTTGTATGTGATAATGGGGAGCTCCTAGAGCCTAGCCCATAGGGAACTGCGCTGCTAACCCAAAAGCAGGGCCTCTCCAGTGGTTCAAACCCACCAGCGACAGCCTTGGAAAGCTGCTGGAGGGTCAGCGGTAAGGAGGTTCTGATTCAACAGCAATGAGAGAGTTCTAATGAAATGACTACTGGTTGCAAAAGCATGAAGGGTAGAATGTAACAGTCCTTAATCCCAGCACAGCCCAGGCAGGGAGTTTTCTCTAGGATGGGGCCTGTAACACCTTGTATCTCACTAGAGATAAACAAAGAGCAAGGATGTCAGCTTAAGACTAAGGTGAGTTGAACCCAAACCATGGTATTTTCTTTCTTTTTTTTTTTTCTTTTCCCCCCTCCTGGTGTTTTGTTTTTAAATAAAATTTTTCTTTTACAAAGTTCGTATGCACTCTTTTTGACACCAGGTCTTTCCCCTTCCCTTTACCCATGCCTCCCTCCACCCATCAAACTGTGTGACCCTATGATTACCCCCCGCCCAACCTCAGCCATGGTCTGAAGAACTGACACCTTTGAATTGTGAGGCTGGTAAAGGGGACTGACTATCCCACGGACTGACACAAGTGCTCCTTAGAAGCAGGGACAGTGACACCTCATCACACATACTTTGAGGCATGTTGTCAGGAGGCATCAGTTCTTGGAAAAAGACACTATGCTGGGAAAGCTGAGGGTCAACCAAATAGAAGACCCTCGACACGATGGGAAGGTGGAGCGACAGTGAAAGAGAGGAAGAACCCCGACCAGGTGGGCTGACACAGGGACTGTGGAAACGGACCCAAGTGTGTCAGAGATTATGAAGATGGCACGGGACAGGACAGGGTTCAGACATGTTGTTCATAAAGTTTCTATGAGTTGTACTCAACTTGACAGCGCCTACCAACAAACAGCAACAAGCTGGATTGACACAGTCACTGCAACAATGGGTCAGCGCATGGCAGAGATCAGGAGGATGGCACAGAACAGGGCATGGTTTCAATCCGTTGTTCAAAGGGTCGCTGTAAGTTGATGGCACGTAACAATAACTAAGAGGTAAGCAAGGAGGAAAACAAGCTGGGGAGAGAGACCTCGGTGCCACCAAGAAAGAACTGCCAGGAGTGGAGGGTGTCTTTTTTTGGACCTGGGTTCCTGCACTAAGAAGCTTGTTGACACCAGAAAAGGCCAAGACACACAAAGGCCTCCAAGGACAACCAGATGCTGAAGGAAACAAGAACCTTCCTCTAGAACTGGTAGAGAGAGGACCTTCCCCTACAACCTGCACTCTGAACTTGGACTTCCAGCTTCCTAAAACATAATAAGTATCTGTTAAAGGAGTCATCTGTGATAAGGTCCAGCAGGATAAGATCACCAAAACCCAACAGAAGAATGGGGGAGCGAGTGGTTGTCAGGGAGAGGACATCAAGGAGCAGAAAGGGACAGAGAGGGTACCAGGCACCTGGCATTCCATGACCACCACAGTCCAGCTGTGCCCAGACACTGAGCGAGCCTTGCTTCATGTGGCCTTTGCCCTGCTGGAGGCCACACTCCCCATGCTGCCACGTCCTTGAGGCTGTGTCTTCTCCATCACACCCCACAGGCTCTCGACAAGGGAAAGGCCCTTCCAGTGCCTCAACCCTCCCTCCTTCCCAAACACAAAGTCTATTGTTTGAAAGAGCACACACTAACTTACTCACCCCACAACCTACTGCAGCAGTCTCCACAGTCAGATCTGACCTCTCCTTCTATACGAAGTTCAGCTCTGGGCTCACCGCACCCTCCCCGATACTTGTTAATGCTCTCAGCTGCCACTGATCCCGACCCCATGCTCAATGGGGTCAAAAACAAAAACGCTGTCCTGTCCAGCACCAGGGGCTGTGATCCAAAGGGTTTTCACTGAGTTGCCTTCTGGATGTAGAGTACCAGGCTTTTCTTCCTAGCCTCTTAGTCTGAAAGCTGTTAAAATGTTGCAGGGAAGGCTCCATAGACAGATGGACAGATGGATGATGGTTACACGTGACATACACTGGCTGGGAAAAGATTCCAGATCCCTCACGGGAAAGCATATTATAATTCTTGTCATCATTGTCAGGTGCCATCAAGTCAAGTACGACTCATGTCAACCCCACGAACAAAGAGATCTGAACCCTGTCCTATCCTGGGCCATTCTCACAATCTCTAGTATGTTCAAACCCGTTTCCAGGATCACTGTGTCAATTCACCTGGTTAAGGGTCTTCTTCACCTTTGCTGTCCCTCCACTTTCCCAATCATAATGTCCTTCTCCAAGGAAGAACCTCTCCTAGCAACATGCCCGAAGTATGTGAGACAAGGCTTCCTCACCTTTGCCTCCAAGGAGCACTACACCTTCTCCAAGACTTACCTGTTCTTTCGGCATGAGTTAGTCAGCACTCTTCTCCACCACCATAGTTCAAAGGTATCAATGCTTCTGCCACCTTTAGTCACTGTCTGGTTCTCAGGTGCACAGCACATGACAGACAAGACCACGGCCTGAATCAAGCACACCTTAGGCATCAAACTGACTCCTTAAAAATGTGAAGAGATCTCTGACTAGAGACTTTCCCAGTGCAATCCGCTTCCTGACCTCCTGACTGCTGGCTGTAGGTGCACGGACTGTGAATCTAAGGTGAAGGCGCTGACACTCTTGATCTTTTCTCCATCTGCCGTGATGTTGCCAGCAAGTCCAGTGGCGAGTTTTGTTTCCTTGACATTTTCTTGGTGTTGAGATGCTATCTATACTTGTAAGCTGAAGTGTTTTAGTTGTCATTCTTAGTGATTTCACTAGCCGCAGAGGCGACTATTGTGACATCATAAAGGTGACTGTTCCAACATCCTGGCTCTCTGGCCCTTTATCTCCTCTCTCCCACTGATGCTGTGTTCCACCCCCTCCAGGGCCAGGCCTTGTCCTTACAATAAACCCCTCCAGGTGCTATTCCAACTTTTCCACTGGCCCATTCCACTGTCTTAATTTGTCTAACTCACTGTTTCCACGACACTCTGAATTCCTCAGTGCCCCTGGGCAGCTCAGGGCATGAATCCTTCTTCGTCAGCGTTCTCACCCCTCCTCATCTTCTTACCAGCAGGAAGTCACTTTTTCGCACAGCCCTCAACTCCCTCGTTCCTTCCTTCATTCTGTTGAATCTGATTTGACAGCTCTCCCCCAACCCTGCTGCAGCACTGGAGGCTCGGGGCGGGGATGGAGGCACATACACCAGGATGTCGTTCTCACTGCAGCCCCAGGACCCCCGGGATCCTCTATCTCCTCCGGGTTCTAGGCTGCCCCCTACCTTCCCAGACAGAAATTGCATCTTCTCTCTTCCACTCCAGCCTCCAACACCTCCTCCTCGCCCTCTCAGAAGAAGGCCTTGCTTCCCACTGCCTGGGAACAAGGCCGCTAGAAGCAGAGGACACCGGCCACCTAGCACTCCCAGGCCCTGGCACGTGAGCACGCACACTGCCGCCCATTTATAATCACAGATGTCCTTTCTCATGGTCAAGGCCACCTCCCCCATCGCCAATCGCTTCCCTCCCTGCTGGATCATTCCCGTCAGCAAACGGCTCCATCTCCATCTCCTCCTCCTCTTGAAAAGCAACAGATAGAAAACACCATATTGGCCTGACACCTCACATGCTTGTGACCGCCCACTTTGGTGGAAGTGCTGCCTGTCCACCCACCAGCTACCGCCCCTCTCATGTCAGCTTCTCTGAAATTCACTCCACCTTCAGCCATCCTACCACCCAGGCCGCGCTTGCCAAAGCCGCCGAGAGCCTCCCGGTGGCTAACTCCTTTCCTTTCTTGGCGCTCACCTGACCTGACCTGTCAGTGGCATGACACATGGTCGTGCCCCTCCTCCTCCTCCTCTTCCTCCTCAACGTTCTATCGACATCAGGCCTCCAGAATTTGGCCCTGCCTGCTTTCCTCCTGCCGCCTGCTGTCTCAGTCCCCTCTGCGGGCTCTATTCCCCGCGCCCTCTTATTCCAGGAGTGCCTAATAGCTGTCTCCTTCCCTCCTGAATCTTCACCTTCTCCCTTGACCCCTCGGGGAACTCAGTCGGTCATGAGGCTTTAGTAAGCATGTGTGAAAGGAGTCTGAGAATTGGGT